GATAGTACAAATACAGTAATACCCCGGACTTACGTGATAGGTGGGACCAAGCGATAACCGCGTAAGTCGAATTCGAATAACTTCTAACTGATGAACTGTCTAATTGATAGTTCATCAGTTAGCAGCAGTTGCAGGTTCAAGTCCTGCTCTGAGTTGATCCTTTTCTCCAGGACCTTCTAAATTAATTAATAAATATTAATTTAATAAGATATGGTGCCTAACACCTACCTCCTTGGCCAAATTACTTAGCATTTAATTATAACTATATCACATCTACTGTTAATATCTAATTCAGCAATCATTTGGCTTCAAAAACATTAATATTTAAAAAGCAAGATTTCTCATTTGTAGAAGCAAATGCTATCTTATTTTGACACTTTGCAAATTATAGCGAAATATGAGTAGTTTATTTGTCAGATTGTACTTTTTTAAAATTATTTTATGTGGATGTTTATACAGTATTTGATAACTTAAAGAATGTAATTACATGTTTCTAATTTAAAAATCTATTGTAAAATTTACAAAAAAATAAATGTTTCTGTTCATTGCTAATCAACTATTGTTATTTTTTAATTGACAGATAGTTGAAAATGTTAAAATGGAAGAAATACCAGAATGGTTTCATGAATGCAAATTCAATTATGCTGAAAATTTATTACAATTTAAGGACAATCGGATAGCATTATATTTAACAGGTAAATATGATATACTGTGTACTATTAAATATATATTATATTTTCAGTTATTCAAAAGTCTTTAAGTAAATTTTCTTTGTCTTTTAAATTTTAATTTGCATTGAAGAGATTATTTAATTTTTTAAAAAAAGATTTTATTACTTACTTTAATAGAATTCTCTTCAATATGTAAAATAATAATTTTGTAAAAAGTGATTTTTGTATTTCAAAATACAAAATTAATCTGAAGCTTCAAAGTTTAAATATGTATGTATGGTTGTTGGATAGTATCCTAAATTTTCATAATCATTTTTAGATAAGAATGTACTTTGCATAAGTTATTCATATTAATATCAATGTTGAATTCTTGTTGATTGTTGTATTAAAACCTCCTTTTGATTCATTATTCATGTAAATTATTTTTATATTTAGATTAATATTATATTTATACAAAATAATTTAAAATAAGTAATGTATTTAGATTTTAATCTGATAAGATTACAATCTAAATACACAAATATCAATTAGTATTATCAAAAATTTTGAATTAAAATTGGATTAAGTTATTATTCAATGACTGCAGAATTTAGTATTTTATTACATTAATTTAATTTTATATGTACATTTTTTAAAGTTATTTTAATGAAAATCAATAGTTCAGAACAGAATTCAAATTCATATTCTTACATTAGATGAGAATTGCATCTTTTTTAGGCCTTGTTAAATTATTTCAAAATAAAAGAAGTAAAATGGCAAAGCCATTTTTGAGATGAGACTGTCTTGGCAAGTGTAAGCAACACATGCACAAATCTTGCACTCGTGTTTGTTTGTAGAAACAGTCTCAGCATTTCATATTTTCTTTTGACCTGGTTCTCAGTCCCCTGATTATCTACAAGTCTGGTTTATTTTATGTGTGCGTGATTTGGGCACCAACTACTCTATGCCAAATTGCAACTCTTGACATGTACTCCTTCATACGTCTAAGGTGTGCATCTGTTAACAGCAGTGTGATTTGATTTTAGAGATGACTCATAGTCTTGTCAATTATTAATATCAATAGATTAATTAAATATTATCAATAGATAGCAATATATCTGTTTATACATGTCCATATTCTCTCACTGTTAAATAACTTAACACAATGTAAATAGAAAACCAATCCAAATTATACTAGTAATCAAATTATAGACCACATTAACTATTCCAAGTTAGACCTTGGCTAATTACCATAATTATACAGATATGTAATTTAGAGTAAAGATAGGCAGTAATGCAACCAACTTGGCTGTATATTTCTTGTCTTTTTTTAGTCCAAATTACTGAAGCACCTTTAGGCCATTAGTTATTATAATTTGGCTCTATCATTTGGTTTACTAACTTAATGCAGTTTTAATCCAGAGATTTTTAATCAAATTTATTATTACTTCTTGAATGATGCAAAAAATAATTTAGGATAATATACAGATATGTTTTAATATATTAATTACTTTTTTAAACTGATTTTTCTCCATTATACAATTCTTTCTTACATGAATACTTTATAAAACTACTGATTTTAAAAATTTATTTTGATGAATAGTTTTGCTAATACATCAAGCATAGAAATTTTAATTATAGATATATTATAATCAATTCCAATAAAGTTTTAATATCATTTTGATAATTTTTATCAAAAATGTATGTATTTTAACTGTAATTTAATAATTTCAGGAGAGAGACAGAAAGAAGTAAAGACAGTTACTTATTTTGAATTAAATCAGAAAGTAGCTCTCTATGCTTCTGCTTTGAAGTATCTTGGAATTAGAAAAGGAGATTGTGTTGTAGGTAAATACAAGGATTAATATATATATATTTTTATTTACATAATTTTTGATAATATAAGAGTTTCTTTTTAACTTCTACAAATTTAAAAAAAAAACTTTTTAAAACGTAACATACAAGATCTGCTGTCAAGGATATTAGCTTGCCTGCTTTCCCATTATTCAAACATCAATATATCTGCTGTTTTTTGTTCTACACACACTGTTCCAACACCTTTTTTGTTCTGTTTTTTTTTTTTTTTAATCAAACATAATCACATGACATTGTGAATTCCTTGTGTTTATATCAAATTTTCAAGTTACTGTTACATTAACTATAACCATGATATGTTCTACACCTACTTATGTATTTCAAATACATGTACTGTTTGCTTATTCTCAAAAAGTTTAACAGATTTCTTATTTTCCACATTCCAAAGATTGCTGCTATTAGTTGGTCAACTTACTTTATAATCACTCTGTATATACAAACTTTCTCTGAAACTATTTCTAATAATCTTTGATATTGTAACTTGTTTGTTGTTTTGAGTATTTTGATCTATTTAAAATTTTTCAAATTTGATTTATATATCTGAAGTTTTTCTATAATGTTGAAATTTTGGAATATAATCATTTACAATGTATATCAATTCTTTTTCTTATTAATGTTATTTCAATGCTTATGTTAGAAGATACAACTGTTATACTGCTGATGTATTTGATTTTGAAGATGAGAACAAATCAAAGTTCATTACTGTATATACATCTTGGAAAACAATTTACAGTGCCATCAATATGTAAACACTATATGGCAGTGTTAATAACTCAGGATTAAGAGTTGGTTAGAGGTTAATCAATCGCCATTCATTCCACTTTTAGTATGTGAATGCTTATTAGTTAATTTATAATTCTAACTCTTGATCCCTGTAAATATGAATATATGTTACTTTTAAGATTATAAAGATAAGTTCTGTAGCGTTCTTTGACTAAAAAATATGGGCTAATGGAAAAATTGATGTAATAGTAGATACAATTAAAATTCTTGTTAGTACATTTTCATTATTTAACATTGTTTTTTTTTTATCAACACTTTTTTATTTTTAATATACTGGGTGATGATAAAATAAGTAGCTTTATTTGCAGCTGTCAGTAGCTTGAAGGAATAACCATTGACCCAAATGACCCAAATTGGAATAACCAAAATGAAACCAAAATTGGTACATTTACTATTTAAGAATGGAGAAGAAAAATGAAACAAGAAAAATGTAGTTTACTGTGCCCTATATAGGCATTATTTTAAAGTTCGAAATGTAATGTGTAATACAAGAAGAAAGAATTAAGGTGTATAACTTGATAGCATATTTATTGGAAAATGTCAGTTAGTGTGGTTATGCTGTCGCATAGTGGCATTGATGATTCAGTTCAGGATCCACAATATCCTTGGATAGGATTTATATCTAATCCTTAAAAATAGGCTATACTGATTTTTTAAAAATATCATACAATGCTTTAAAAAAATTTACTATCTAATTTTTAAAATTATGGGGAAAATGCAATATGTTGTAATCATATAAAGTATATACTATATATAGATTTTATATTTTAATGTTTTTAAAATGTCATTTTTTTCTAAACTTTAAATTTTAAATATATTATTTCTCACTTCATTTTAAATGAAATTCCTTGTAATAACAAGTGCAAATGCTATTCAAAATATAATTTAAAATAATTTAGTCAATCTATATATTTTTCAGTATAAATAAATATTTAATTTATTCTGTAGCTATCTATTGTTAGATTTACTGCTATACCTGAGTATACAGTGTACAGTGGAGGGTAATAGGCAATGAACACAAACCAAATTAAGGACTTTACACTTCTTATTTTGCAGGTGAAAAAATATGATTTAATTTTTCGGGAGTCTTACAGTCATATTGATATACCGACAATTTATATCTATATCCTATACAGGCTTAAGTACCGTTAACGCGTATCTATATCTACTCTCTATTCTACCACCTAATTTTAGAGATTGTACAACAAAGAACAAACAAATTGTCTTACATGTGTCCTTCGTTCAATTTTAAGGAATGTATATGCGATTCACTTCAAAGTCTTGCTCCTAGATCTGGATGGAATTGGATTATTGTTTTTTCTTCCAACTGTCCATTCTCTTCTCTTTCCAACCACGTGCTTAAACACTTGCACCTCACTTATACCACATGTCCGACACAGTCCAAAGAGCAAGAAACAAAAAGTCCTTCTTTTAGGTGAAATGCCTCCCTTTATACTTCTCCATGGTTAACGTCACGAGTTGCAACCAATCATCCAGTCCCGCGGGTTTTACAAAATGTGGTGCTTGAGTACAAATGGAACAGGCAAAACATTTACAAAAAAAAATAAACCAAACAATTTAATTGAAGTGACAGATCACTACACTATAAACATTTATTCATTTCTAATAGAGATACCAAAACTAAAAAAAACCTTAAAAAAACAACCTTGTCGCAATAAATTTGAATAAACCCAAATTTATTGAGACAACAAATGTTTTCAAAAGGTCATTTTCAGGTTGTAAAGATGGGATACAAATTGAATTTGATTTGAATTCCAATAGACTATAATTTGCACTTAAACAATCATCAGAAATTTACTAGAAAATATTTAAAAACTCTTTAACATAAAAGTTGACTTTAAGAATCTTCACTTTATACAAATTTATTTATAAATTAATAGTTCTGACAAATTTGTGTTACAGAAATGTTTACAACTTATTCATTCATTATTAGTTTGACAATTGTATGTGTGTGTATATATATATATAAGCCCTCTTTTATAACCTTGTTTTACTTTTTGAAAGCTATTATAAATCAAACATTAATTTCTCATAGATTTTTTCACCAGTGGCTGAATAGATAAAACCATTGATAGTTTGTTGCAGGTTTACACCTTACAATTAGTCTGGTCATATCAAATTTGTGATGGAGTGTAAATGGCCCTTTATTTAAGTGACTTTTCTACTTTCAAATAATCATTCAAAATCATTTACTTGATCCAATCTCTAGGGATGACTTTCTACATTGTCATATGCAGGTCTGCTTCAAATAGTTCATGCACTGACTTGGTAATTAATGTATTGTCAACTAGTTGTTTTCAAATGATGTGACTTGTGAAAATTTATGAACAGTTTTCGACCATTTTGCATAATAAAGTAGAATCTTCAAACACATTTTTATAAAGAATTACATTCTTCAGCACTCATGTCCTTTTTGAAATTTCTAAAAATCATGACTTCAAAAATTGTATTAAAGTTCATACCTGCAGTGAAAATGATTGTAAGATGATGTTACCATTTGGCACCCTTTCTTGCCATTGTAGATGTCACATGATACATCATGTGATATTACAATGCCAAGAAGGGTTCCATTTAGCAAAAAGTCACTTTTGTACTGTCATTGGGCTACAGTTTGAAAAAGTTGTAGACCTATAAATTCCCACTGTCGTCAGTCTGTCCGTCTTTCATTAATCTTGAGAACGGAGTTAGGTAGATGAAATCTGAGACCAGATATGGAAACCTTATGGACAGGAGATCCCAATTAACTATATATGAACTTCTAATGTAAACCAAAAGCCATATTATTTCAATTCGAAAATTTCCGCTGTAAGGATTTAGATTAGAGATGCCATGAATATTCAGCTACTATTCGGTATTTGGCCTATTCAGCTACTTTTTTTAATATTTGGTATTCGGCCGAATGTTGCATACTATTTGGCCAAATACCAAATCATAAAAAAAAAAACACACATATTACTCAAAAACATATTTATTTTAATCACAAATTATTACATTTAATACTTAAAATCTATCAGTGGTAAGTTGTGATGAATGAAAATAATTTTTTCAGCATTTTTTGATAGCAAACGATTGCACTTTTCCTCATAAACTATACCTGCTTCTGAAAATAGCCTCTCACTATATACACTACTGCCGGGAGACGATAGATAAATCTTAGTGATTTCTTTTAGGCTTGGGTACTGTTTTGCATTTGCTGACCACCACTTGTAAAGGTCTGCCGTTCGATGTAGGCAAACAGTTTTCATATAAAGTGATACAAACAGTGATATTACAATGATATTTTTTTAGTAATAAGGACTATTAATAACACAATTTTATGTAACAATGAACAAATAATGCATGTTGTGACACGATCTACTCGCAAATAAAACAAATGTGCCCGTGGTGTTGCTACCACACCCACCACAATGAGACAGGTCGTAACCTGTCACCCGCAAAATGTACACACATTTTGCCGAACATTCGGCGCTTCGGCTGAGAGCATAGCCGAGTATTCGGTATTCAGCAAAATCACTATTTGTGGCATCACTAATTTAGATGATGGCATGACTCTGTTGCTAACAGGAAATTATGTACAATACAGAGGCAAGACACTACTAATTTGACATGGAGAACATATATTTTAAATTAAATAAATTTTAAAAAATATGATTAAAAATTGCAGTCTTGCATTGTGACAATATCACAATAAATAATTGCTCATTGTTTTAAAAGTGCTGCAACTGTTTGGGAAATAAGCTGCTAAAAATTTTGGTATGTCCTACATGTGACGTGTACAATTATAAATTATACATTTATAAATTACAATTATAAAGAGAATCTCTTTCATTATTTACATTTTTATTATATTTTTAATAAATATTACTATTTATTTATTTGTAATAATATATAATTTAATATTTTATTTTATATAAGGTTATCTGCCAAATGGAGAAGAAGCTGTTGAGGCAATGTTAGCTGCATCCAGTATAGGTGCTATATGGAGTTCAACTTCTCCTGATTTTGGAATTTCTGTAAATACTCTGTCTATAAATTTTATTTAGAACTTAATATTTATTTTTATGAAAAAAATATTAAAAATAAAAATAATTATGTAGTAGTTATTGGTTACAAGAAATGTAGGTTTAAGAATATGAACAAACTTTTAGTTTTTTGTTATCAATTAGCAGTTTTCACAATTTTTTCAACATATACAAAATGTCATCATCAGGTAATGCAAAAAAATAATGAAAAAAATGTATTCATGTGCAAAGTGAAAATAAGTAATGAAAAAATTTATATAAAACAAACATTAAAATGTTTTAAAATCAACTGGCACATTTAGGCAATAAATAATAAACAAAGGCAAAAAGTTGTATTAAAGAAGCATCTTTTAAAGATGTAATTATTAAAACTTTTATAGTACTGTATCTGCAACCTTTGAGTAATTTTTTTAAAGTCCAAAAAACTTGAAGTTGCAAAGTGATATATTGAGACTGTAAGTTGGATATTACAGAACTTTCCATCTGAAGCAATGTGGCCTTCTAACTACGTTGTTTTGAAGCGTCCATGATTTTGGATCTTTTTTAAGAAAGTTTTTTAAAGATTGCAGATTCCTGTCTGACAGTGAAGTCCAAGCAGCTGTACAGCTGTAACTAAATAGTTCATTCTGTAGTCTTTTTTTTTTTCTATGTGAAAGGTATACACAAATTTTTACCATACTGGGACACATGTAGAATGCAATAGGTAATTTCCTATAGAAGCATAATGCAAATTTGTCATTATGCTGTCTATACTGTAATCCTGCTATGGTGACCAGTGACACCATATGTTTTTTATGGCTCAGTTTATGCTTTATTGGAACAACCCTATATGCATGCATTTTGGTAATATAAAAAAATTCAGGACAGTTGAGAGCTTTATGGGGCCTGGGATAGAGCAGGCCTACTTTTCCATATTCTTTTTGAATAAATGAAATACAGTAGACCCCCTATAATGCGGTAGATACGTTCCGCTTTATAAGAATTTTGTGTTGTAGTAATCCTTAAATACATGAGCCAATCACAGCACGTGTGCAGTTTACGGACTAAGGCTGTTTGAAGTGTTTACTTCCATAAAATGAATCGATTATAGACTAATTTGACTCAACATTTCCAAAACGTATAATTTTTTGGGAATAATCTGTATAAACTATGCTATAAACAAAATTGTAGGATTACTTACCGAGTGTGCACTGTTCGATGACGCCATTGCTTAAGCTTGTTTTCGTCGCAGAGCAGTGCACCAAACGGCGGGGGCATTTTCTGATAAGTTATTTTTCTGCGAAAAATTCGTTGAACTTTGGAGACATCATTAATAGAAATAATTTTTATGGCCGTTGAATAAGAAATGTTTTTTTCACAAGAGATGTATAAAATTACAGTACTGCATTAGACTTACAGTATCTAATTTAGGCCTATATACTGTACAGACGCTAGTAAACTCAACTTACCTGCCTAAACTCTTCGTAGTGTGTAGCTGCTCATCCACTATTGGTCCAGATTTGACCAATCCTGTCGTGACACGAGTCGACAATGACGTTTTACCGCATTTTACAAGTCTCTTTTAGCATCTTTATACGAATACGGTCACAATTTTTTCGCCGCGATATACAAATCCACATTATATGAACCCTTGTTGTAGGGGGGTCTACTGTACCTGTACATAGAAAATCTCTTTAGTAATAAAAAAGTTTTGCAGATTTTATTTCCTAATGGTAAAAAATATTATTTTTATAGGAGTAGAAACCATTATGGACCAGGAAAAATCCCCAATCCTCTTGATGGTCCTGAATATGAATCCAATATAATCTAAAATATGAAAAGCATATTTTATTATTTTTAATGAAAAACTATACAATTAATCTGTGATTGATTGATTTTTATTTTTTATCTATCAGAATTCTTAATGTGTGTAAAAAATTTGTTAATGTAGTTGAGATGTTTTTATAAGCATACTTATGACAATTTAATGAATTAACTTTTAAAATGAATTTTTTATTTTCAGAGTGTTTTAGACAGATTTCGGCAAATACAGCCTAAAGTAATCTTTTCTGTAGATAAAGTTGTGTACAACAGAAAAGTACATAACCATTTGGAAAAATTACATGAAGTTGTTTTAGGTAGAAATGAACATTATTTATAAAATCAAAGTTTGTTTATATCAATACTATAATGAAATGTAATATAAGGCTATCTATTTGGTTTTCTGTTTTCCTATAGGTCTCCCATTGTTAAAAAAAGTGGTTATTGTTCCTTTTGATATTCAAAATAAAAATGAAATAGCAAAAATCCCAAAAAGGTAATGAAGTTTTTAATTCATATTTGATGATTATAATGTGTAAGACAACACTACATCAAATTTAACAATAAAATTAAAACTATAAATACTATGTTTGATGTTATTTAATTCATAATTTGTGTTTTTTAATCTTGCAATTAATTAAAAATATAATATTTTAAATTTAATTTAGAATAATTTTATTGTTAATACTTGTACTTAACATTATGCATAATTGTGCATTTTGTTTACATTACAAATTCTCATTTAGAGGACATATTTAATGATTTTCTAAATGAGAATCATTTAGAGAATCATTTAAGTTAATTAATTATCTAATCTTTCTCCACTTGTGGGCTTTTTTATGTCTGTTTTTGTGGGTTTGGCTTAGCTCACAATCATATAGTGATGGATAGGGCAGACAAACTACCTAAATACATCCATACCTTACAATTCCAGCAAACATCTTGATGTTATTTACTAATGTTTTCAGACATACAAGTATTCAATGTCCTACTTCAGGCACTCTCAAATCAAGAAACAAAAATAGAATGTACAGTACATTCCCTGTATTTAAACTTAAAATTTGAGCATTCTATAGCTTTAAAGAAAAATTAGAAAATTTTAAATTATCTATTGCAAAATATGTTGAAATAGAATGTACATTTTATGAATTTTTCTTTAAGTGTGTGGAATTTTATGTTTTATTTTGGTTTTTGATGTGAGATTGCCTGAAGAAGGAATATTGAATATGTCTAAAAATATTAATAAATGCATTAAAAATATTTGCTGCAGTTGTAAGGTATAGATGTATTTAGTCAAATTGTCTGAAAATTTGAGGATCTAACTCAAACTCAAAGTTGCCTATATCTATAACCTAGATTCAAACTCAGTTGCTATAGCAGTAAGTTAATATCTTTTTACTAGATCGGGTATTTGATTGTCCATAGATTATAATTAAATAATTTTTTAAAACTACTTTAATTAATTGTCATAGGAATTGGTTGAAGAGATGTCTCTAAAAGTTTAGTGTTATACTTTTTTTTTCATATAAAAATGAAATGTTGGAAAAAAGAGAGAAGCGTTTTTCATTAGAATCCATTTGCATTTGTTATTTTTAAAAATTGATAATCTATTGGGTTGTTTGGAAAATGAGTTCTTTTTTTCTGTGGAGAAAAACACAATATTTTTATAATAAATAAATATTTTATTGAATTATATATAAATCATTTTGGTCAAATACTTGTTGTCATCGTTTCTGGTAGTAGCATGATTTCATATTTATAAAAGTTTTTATTGTTGCTTACAAAAAACTGATCCAAGTGATTTTTGACATTGTCATTTCAAGTAAATGTTTTACAGTTGAAAAAATTTGTATAGACTGGAACAAGTAATAATCTGAGTGTGCTTAATCTGGCGAATATGGTTGGTGTGATAGCATGTCCCATCTAAGTTATAACAGTTTCTGACGAGTTACCAAACTTGTGTTAAATTTGACATTATCGTGGTAAAACACTACACCTATTTTGTTGATCAATTCTGGCCGCCTTTTCTGTTTGATAATATTACTCAATTTGTTTACTCGATGGCAGTACGCTTTCAAATCAATTGTTAAATTGTCTGGTAAAAGCTCCAAAAAAAAATTTCCTTAAAATCCCACTAAAGAGAGCATCTCTCTTTAAGAACATTTGGAACCCATATATCAAGCTTTGAAATGAAACCAGTTTGTTTCAAGTAATCATAAACAGTTCAATTTGACAAATTTAATCTCTTAGTGATTTGATGTGTTGTTATTCAACAGTTTGCTTCAATCAGTACCTTTTATTTTGTTTTCATTGGTTTCAACTGGCCATCCATAACATGGTGCATCTTCAATATTGAAATTGCCAGAACAAAATTTTGTAAACCAGTTTTGGCACTGTCGTTCTGTCAATACATCTTCTCCATACACATCACACATTTTTTTTCTCACTTGAACAGCATTCTTATCTTTTCGGTAATAAAAGAGCAAAATATACTGAAAATGCTGCTTTCGATCTTCCATATTTGATGGGACACAAAAAATAAACAATTGCACAAAATCAAACAATTTTTTACAAATAAGCCTTAAAATGCTAGCGGTCAAAATATATAATGATAATACAGTTTAGAATGAAAATGGTGGGAAAAATACAAGTAATTCCTCTAGTGGTAAAAAAACGAACTTACTTTCCAAACAACCTAATAGCTCAGGGATGGGTAACCTGCAGCCCTCGGGCCGCATGAAGCCCACAGTAATATTTTTTGTGGCCTGTGCCGCATAAAATATGAATAAATATATCAATTTTCCAGCTTAAGGAAGTATGCAGCAAAAATTCAAACGTTATTTTCTACAACTTATGTATGTGAATATTTTTCCACAATAAATTTAGTAAAAATTAAAACAAGAAACTGGCTAACAGACACACTGAATCTAATTTAAAACTAGCAGTGACTAATATTTAGTTAAATATTTCTGATATATTACATTTACATATGTGCCAGAAGCTAAATTAAGTATACCTGTGCTACTTTATAATTATATATGAATAAAGAATTGTGATTTACTGACACTTCCCCCCACTTGACTCTTGACAAGTTTTGAAATGCAGCCCACAGATATAAAAAGGTTGCCCATCCCTGATCTAGCTGAAGATGAGACATTTTAGTTTAAATGTCAAAAAATATTTAATCTCAGCTAATAAGACTTATAACCTATTTAACATTTGTTTTTGTCAGCAAACTTCAATTTCTTAAACCAAATGTTATTATATTATTACAATACTTGTTTGTAATATTTTTAATGTATAGCCTAAATATATAAATGTAATTAAACAATCATTCATCATACTGGTGTTAGAATTAAGAACCTAACCACGTAATTACCAATATACCAGCAAAATTCAATTTAAAAAGTAATGTTTTCTATCGTCTTCAACGGTCATCATCAGACGGTAGAAAACGTTCTTTTTTAAATTGAATTTTGCTGGTATATTGGTAATTACGTGGTTAGGTTCTTTATTAGTCATTTGATTAATTACATTTATACAGTACTTGGAAACTACCAAATATGTTTGATCATAGAGTTTTTATAATTTATTTATCTTATATTTATTAACTGGTTTTTTTAGTTTACTTGCTTCTCTTTTTCAAGTGTTTTGTAGGCATCTATAACCCATCTTCAGAGATACTATTCTAGCAGTAAATGTCAGAGTTACTATACAGTTCACTTGCTTGATCTAACAAGAAGATACAGTCCATATCCAAATCCTTCTCACTTTCAGAACTGTTGATACAGAAGTTTTAAAAAGACAATCAGAACTGTTGATTCAGAATAAGGATGGGACAATTGTCAAGTTAGCTTATTAATCAGGATTGTATAATTCTCTAATCATGCAATTAATTGTTAACTGTTTTAAGCTATTCTTTAAAATTTCATAAAAATTTTAAGTTTTTTAAAATTTAAATTTTGTAGATGCTTTTTTTAACAATTTAATCTTAATTTAACTTACTTTTTAATGTAGATTATATACTTTCTTGGCAGTTTTATACTGATGCCATTTTCAGTAAATATTTCTGGTTGGTGTTTTTTTCCATATCAAATAATAAATTAATTGATTTATGTCACAATTGCTTCCTTTTTAAGTGCAAGATAGTTAACAAAACACTATTAAATAATTGACAATTGTAATAATGATCTACCTGTTTAAGAGCATAAATATTTTTTATAAAATTGGCAGATGGTACTGAAAATCAATCAGATATGATAATTTGCTATGAATGAGATTGAAAGTTATTCCTTAAAATAGATATTTCTAAAAATTTATTAAAAAACTAACATTTTCAGTTTGAAAACACATATACTAAAAGCTAGTAGTTGCTAACCAAGGGTGTGTCACAAAGATTATCTTGAATTATCATTTTTAATAAAATTATCATTTCTTTAAACATCATTAATTTTTTAATATTAATTTAATAAGTTTAAATTTTAAAAAGTAGTATTTTTACAACGGAATGATTATTTACTAGTTACTCCAATTATTAGAGAATTAATTATCACTTGACAATTAATCAGTGGAAGAGCCAATCAGTGTGATTAACAACTAGCAAATGAAGCCCATGGAATAAGAAGAGGAAGTAACTTTTGAAAAAACTAAATATTTATTAATTGCATAATAATGGAATTAAATATTTAGTGTTAAAATGACTCTTGGTTATGATTTGTTTAAGAATTATCTCAAACATACAGTAGGCTAGAATTGAAATTGTAAATTTTCATTATTTCAGAATATCAAACTTCAAATAATTATGGAATCTAAGCAAATGTTTTCTTTCCTATACAAAAATACATTATAAAAATATGGAAAATACATTAAATAACAAACATTTTATAAAAATTAATTTTTAATATATAAATTAATTTTGAAATACATTATTGAATTATGACAAAATGTTTTGTTATTATATTAGTTGTTTCCTGGATGAATTTCTTGAAACAGGCAAAGATGAAAAAGGAAATGTGCCAGAATTAGAATTTGTACAGCTTCCTTTTAATCATCCTCTCTTCATTTTGTATTCTTCAGGTACAACTGGAGTGCCAAAATGCATTGTACATTCTTCTGGTGTAAGTAAATTACTTTCTATTAATTGTAAANAAGATTGTTTCACACTGGGAGGGAGACACTTAGCTATGCTGTTAATTTTGATTAGGAACAGAGTCGCACTCAAAATACAACCTTGAGGAACACCTTCTTGTGTGAAAGGCTTATAAAAATTGGCAAATTACCCTGCAATCCGAATTGGTGCAGATCACGGCAATATGAATTAACATTACAATTACATTTTAATAATATTTTACATATCCTCAAAAATCATCAATTTCACTATAATTCACTAGTAATTTTTATAATTTATTTCTTTTATTCATTAACAGTTGTAATATACACATGTGAAAGTATAGGAAAAAATAGTTTTTTAGTGAAGTTGATTTTATTTTCCTGTTATATTTTCTCTGTGTTCTTTATTCATATTTTTCTTTGAAAAGTTATTTCACTTATAATAATTGCATATTAAAAATTTTTGTCAAGATATTTAATATTTAGTGTCATAAAATATTTTAATTGAAGACTTAAAGGATTTAGATTATTTTTAAAGAAACAAACTTCTGATTAGAACTCAAATATGCAATTTCAATTTTTTTTTTTTAATTCAATTCAAACTTTATTGAACATAAAAGGCTTTTGCTTGTTACATACAGCGTAGTTTGTTATCACAACTTGTTAATCCACACAATATTAGTTTTAGAAGAATTGTTGCAAACAAACTTTATACATAGTTATTTACCTTGTAATACAAATCATTGTGTTACACATTAGTCCTATGTTAGAACAATTAACTTTTCTTTCATTAAGAATAACTTTTTTATTTTTCTAGGTCTAAAAATTTGTACTTTTAAATATAAACATAAAAATCTCACACATTATATACATTACTAGCTGTTACCCGCAACTTCGTCCGCGGAGGTTTTGCAAGCAAATCCTATTTACATTTAATATTTCAATAACCATAGTAATTGTCATATAACACCTACCACTGAAGAGAATTGCCGAGAATCAAACGAACTATCTTCAATTTGATCAATTTTCTGGAACATTTACAATCGTTCTATAATTGAACCAATATGCAATAACAAATTTGAATTTAAAATGGATCGAACATTTTTAAAATCGAAATGTCTGAAACGTTATCAATTTAATACACATAAGTACTCAATGAAGACTAAATGTAGTTGAAAACAAAAAATTGCATCTAAAATAGTACAGTAGAAGCCGTTTTTTTGGTTAAGCCTTAATCCTCTCCCTCTCCCCCCGCGGGAAAATTTCGAAAAATTCCTTCTTAGTGTACATTGCCGTGGCATACCCTACTAAAACGCATATAAAAAGAAAAAATCGCATCTAAAATAGTACAGTAGAAGCCGTTTTTCCGGTTAAGCCTTAATCCTCTCCCTCTCCCCCCGCGGGGAAATTTCGAAAAATTCCTTCTTAGTGTGCATTGCCGTGGCATACCCTACTAAAATGCAGATAAAAACAAAAAATTGCATCTAAAATAGTATAGTAGAAGCCGTTTTTCCGGTTAAGCCTTAATCCTCTCCCTCTCCCCCGCGGGGGAATTTCGAAAAATCCCTTCTTAGTGTGCGTTTCCATGATGTACCCTAACTGTCTACCAAATTTCACCTCTCTAGGTTAAGCGGTTTGCTCTGGGTGATGATGAGTCAGTCAGTCAGTCAGGACAAGCAATTTTATATATTTAGATAAATATCACTATCTTTAAGAAAGTTTTTTCAATATTTAAAAAATTGCTTCACATAATTACATATCTTGAAAATAGTATTAATTTTTGCTCTATTGAAGATCTTATACATAGTACTTTCATTGGAACAACTGGATAATATAAACGTGTCAGTCTTTTTAATAATCTCTTTTGCTTTACTACATTCACAAAAAATATGAAATTTAGATAGTATTTTGTTACATCTTGTGCATTTGGACTGTGAGTAATCTAAGAATTTATTTCACAAAATAATGATGTCGTCTATGTATCGCTTGTATAATAAGATGTTGTGGGAGAAAGTTTCTCCCACAACATCTTATTATACAAGCGATACATAGATGACATCATTATTTTGTGGAAAAACGACCCAGACATCACCCACTTTATTAATCAGATGAACGACTAAGAATTTATTATTAATTATTATTCAATTTTTATTCAATCTGAGCTGTATAAAGAATTTTCCAGTTTAGAGTGGACAAGGGCTCTATAAACCCTCAGCATAGAAAATTTGTTTGCTCCCCAGGATGAGCAGCATAGTACCTTTTAAAAGGTTCAGGGACTTTAAACATCTACTCTTCAAATTGTGCAAATATGGCAAGAACATCAGTTTTTGGTCGAACAAAATACCCAAAAACTTAGTCTCGTTGACCATTGGGATTTTAACCCCATTTAGGTGAATTTCAGGATCCAGGTGCAAACCACACCAAAGGCAAAAGTGGATGCATGAGGTCTTCTCTGTGTTAAAACTGAAACCATTGGTCTTGGACCAATTGTCTATGCGATTTAGGGAGATTTGCAATTGTCTCTCAATAAAATTCATGTTACTAGACTGGCAGAAGATCTGAAAGTCATCCAAATACAAAGATTGTTTCACACTGGGAGGGAGACACTTAGCTATGCTGTTAATTTTGATTAGGAACAGAGTCGCACTCAAAATACAACCTTGAGGAACACCTTCTTGTGTGAAAGGCTTATAAAAATTGGCAAATTACCCTGCAATCCGAATTGGTGCAGATCACGGAGTATTCCATATCACTAGCAGCAATCGTAGGCCTTCTCTATATCGAAAAACACAGACACTAAGTGCTGTCATCGAACAAATGCTTTGCATATAAATGTTTCAAGGTTTACTAAATTGTCCGTGGTACTTCTGTGAAATCCACTCTGATGTGATGAAAGGTAATCCTTTTCCTCTGAGAAACATCAGACGTCTATTTTACCATTCTCTCAAAGAGTTTACAGAGACAGCTTGTCAGAGAGATTGGTCTGTAATTAGAGGGATTCTTGTGGTGTTTACCTGGCTTGGGAGTGGGAATAATAATCAATAGCCTCCAAGAGTCAGGGAAAGAATGTTCTGTCCATATTCTGTTAAACAGATTCAGATTACTAAAGGAATTGTTTGACAGATTTTTAATCATACTGTAGTGGATTTTTTCCAGGCCTACAGCAGTATTCCTTGAGCAAGCGATTGCTGTATATAGTTTCTATTCTGGTGAATGGCACATTGTATTCCTCATTAGATGAGGAATGAAAGTTTAAATATTGCTTTTCTGTTTGTGCTTTATAAGCTTGGAAATTTTTCAAAAACATTATATTGCTGGATGAAGAGGAAAAAGTTTTGCCCAACAAATCTGCAATACCTTGTATATCGCTGATTATTGTGCCATTATTTTCCAGTATAGACAGAGGCTGAGAAGCATATTTTCCATTTATTTTATGGATTTTATCCCAGACTGCTTTTGAGCTAATGGAAGATGTTATGCTAAACGTACTTCCTCCAAGAATCCCTTTTGGCTTTGCCTTCTTATTTTTCTGGCATTTGCCTTTGCTTTTTGAAATGCAATCAAATTGCTAGCAGTGTGTATCTTCTGAAAATTCCCCATGCTTTCTTTTGTTGTTTGTATGCTGCCTTGCAATTCTGGTTCCATCATGGTTTCAGATATTTTGGATATCTAGTTGATGTTTTTCCCATTGTTTTTTCAGCTGCCTGAATGATACTGGATATAATGGCTTCAACTGCACCATTGATATCAGCAGTATTGACCATTTCCTTATAGATGTTAGCTGTAGAGAAGAATGCAGGCCAATTGGCTGTTTCCAGTTTCCAATGTGGTGGACAGGTTGTTTCACAGCTTTCTCTGCCTCAGTATTTTAGAAATATTGGGAAGTGGTCACTGGAGAGTAGAATAGATCCAACCTCCCATGTAAATGCTGAAAACAGGTTTGGAGTTGCTAATGATAAATCAATGGCAGTGAATGTTCTTGTTGGATCATGGAAGTATGTCACTTCTCCAGTATTGAATAAATACATTTGGTAATTGCCTATAAATCTGTCAATGATTCTGCCTCGACAGTTGATGTCAGGACTGCCCCACATTGGATTGTGACCATTGAAATCACCAAGTAAAAGGAATGGAGTTGGCAGCTGTTCAACTAAGATATTTAATTCATCCTCATTGACTCTGAAATCTGGTGGCAAGTATATAGAACAAACTATGACAGTTACTCCAATAGAAATTATGACTGCCACAGCTTTCAAATCAGTGGTTATTTGTACCAGTAAGGATGGGATGTGATTTGAAACCAATATAGCCACGCCTCCACTGGCACGGTTGTGGCTATCATTATCCTTCATTAGAGATAAAATTCTTTTTAAAGAAATTCTCTAGGTTTTAGATAGGTTTCATGGAGTGCCATGTGGAGAGATGGGGTAGATGATGTCAACTGTTTAATGTCAGAGAAGTTGTTGCGGAAACCATGACAGTTTCGTTGAATTATTTTATAATCCATTATATGTTGAGGCAGCATTCTTTGCAAAAATATCCCTCTTTAATCTCACAGGGGTTGTTCTTTTTGGGGTGACATTGGTTTTGTAACCTCCATATTTCTATAACTACCAAAGTTTTCTGACATCTCTGACAAAGAGTCTACTCTTCGTCAGAGATGTCAGAAAACTTGCTCATAGATTGAACTTCTGATCTTTTAGATTTAGAGAGGGCTGCTGTAAAGTACTATATTTTTTTCCGACTTTCTACGATTATCGACACCACTGTGTGCCGGAAATAGCCGTTCCCTAACGGGTACTTTACACGGATTCGCATTAGTGTGCCAGGCCTGGACTTTATGCGTGCACCAAATTAAATAATGACAAAGTTTGTCAATAACAAATCAAATATTTAATAAATATTCTAGTAATAACTATATACAAAATTTAGTAAAAATCAAGTAACAATTTATTCAATGAAAATCAATAAGAATCAACCTGACAAAACTCAAATCAATCTATTTTCT